CTCTCTCTCTCTCTCTCTCTCCCTCTCTCTCTCTCTCCATCTTATTCGCTTCCTAACCACACATTTCAAAATTGCACATCATAGCACTTATATCTAAGTCCGTACCTTCCACCAATAAAGAAGTTACAGATTCCATTGATGTACACGGAGTCTATTTGTGTCACGACATGGTGGAATCAGGCATCGTCAATTTTGGGGTATATGGAGTTATTGGTATCACCTTTAAAACGTTCTATTCATCTTGTTTTCGATGGAAAAAATTTTCATTTATCTTGAATAGAAGTCGGGATATTTGCACTTGAAAGTCTCCTGGCTTCAGATATCAAAGGAACGAGAACTGAAAATTTATATTCATGGGGTCTTTAATTAACTCTTTTTTTTTCTCATAAAAATCCGTACAGAAATTTGTTTTTGAAATGTTTTAAAAGGTGCTGATCCTAAAATAAAAAAAAAAATTGATAAAAATTGCCAAACCGTCGGAACAAGACCGTTTCTTCGACTTCATTATTGTGAGGGGTGCCTGATTTCACCATGATGCCTCGCAATCACGATCCTTCAACTCCTCTGTGTTTTTGTCTTCTTAATGTTGTTCCGGAAGCTGGTGGATCAGAGTTATATTCATTCGAATCGTTTGTTGGCATTCGATTCAGATATTCCCCAGAATGTTATAATATTTAATGCACATTTGATTCTATTGTGTTATTACCCGTGTTGTATTATAGCTTGTTCACGTTTGTCTGCCAGCGGTTAGAACAAGATAAAAACAAATCTCTCTGTTTGATAACTTATCAGGCTTTTGCATGCGGGACTAAAAAGATGGATGACCAACAGAATCTGAAGGCACAATATTGAAGATCGGTGCAAACTAAGGTTCGACAAGTTTGCTTTGGTGCTAGTCTGAAGTGCACCCAAAAGAAAATAATAATTTTAAAAAAAATAGGGGATTTAGAAATGTGCAACAAGAGCATCAGAAAGTTTACCTATTTTTATCACTACCACACTTTAACGCACGCCCATGAACATGGTCGACGTTAGTCCAATATACAGGTTATGAGCACATTGTACTTTTCAAGACTCAAATGGAAACATCTAGACAGTCTTGGTAGGAAATCTATAATCTTACACTGGAATATAGGGGCAGGGTGGTGTCGCTGTCCCAGCATGAGCAATTTGTTAGCAAGAATACTGAAAATCATGTGTAGTGATCCTACGTATTCACCCAAAGGGCGGTGTTTACTATCAAACAAAAAAGAGCATTTTTTATTACTGGATCAAGATTTAATAAAAAGTATTTTGCTTGGTCGCTGTTCTACAGGAGTGCCATGCAAAGATTCGTGCGACTTGGCACATTAATAATGAGCAAGATTTTTTTAATGCGCTCAGACGAAAATGAACAAGCTATAAGGCACGCCAGTAACGAAAAGCTGTTTTATCTTATTTGAAATATTGCCAGGATCCCAAACGGCGTTCTAATTTCTCGAGGAAAGAAATTCTCAAAATGATATGAACATCGGAACACATCAACGTTCAGATCTCAAACCATTCAAACTGAACAGAATCGCAAAGTGTGTAATCCTGATTATAACAGAAGTTCAATATGGAGCATTTTAGTAGAAAGCTAAGTAGTTATATTGTACAGAACATTTGGAGTACTTAAGCCAGTTGTAACATTGCTTGTCATAGTCGAATTGGGCATGACCAAGAATCCTTTCTGGACGTGGAAGATATCATAGACAGGAGCAATCCAAGTGTTCAGCGCTAGATTCAAGGCTATTATGGCGACGATATTCATTGGAATTCCAGCCAAAGCCTGAAACGATAAAGATAAAAGAGGATAATCAAAACGTGCATTTTAATGATGTTTTAGTTTTCGTGTTCTTGTCCTTTTTCTTCGTCTTGTTCTTTGTAGCTGTCGTTGATGTTGTTGTTCTAATTATTATTGTTGTTGTTGTTGTTGTTGTTGTTGTTGTTGTTGTTGTTGTTGTTGTTGTT